CAAAAAACATACAAGCTAGTTTAATTTGAAGCTACCTATGTGGGATTCAATTTTTTCACAAATTTATACATGGGTCTCAAACTCAAATTCTCAAACCACCCTCCTTATCAAAGGCATACAACCCCTACCCCATGCCAGACAACTCATTACACTCCACATCCTTTTCTAATTGCATTCACTCCCTACGCAAAGGATATATTTCCACTCATACAGCCCGCATTTTTGATGCCATGTTCACACTAGCTTTTTATCTGCATTTCTGAGATGTTCCGAACTAACGATAACATCTAATTTCAATCCCACAATCCACCCACCATATCTGATATTACCTCGCTGGATAAAGAAACTAAGCAAAGCAAAACAGATCAGCGACGCAAAGAACAATTTATTTACATTTTTGACATCCCCTCGCCCCCACACACCCATTACAAATCCTCTCAGCATTCTTACACTACAGGAGAGCCCAAGAACATAACCCCCTCGCCTCACTTTTTACTGACAAAGCTAACCATCCAGTAACATATTTTTTGGTTTAAAAACCACCCAAAAGAAGTTCTCTGCATTTCAGGCTTCCCCCAACCCGAACCATTCTCTACACACGCATTCAGGATAGGAGCAGCCACTACAGCAGCCCACAACCGCCTCTCCCAACAACAGATACAAACTCTCGGACGTTGATCCTCCAATGCCTTCAAATCATATTTTCCCCTCAGCCAATATAACATCAGAGAAGAATTCTCAGTAGCCAACACCAACACTCATGAATTTTTAAGCAGCACACATCTATCCGTTCTCCCTATTTTCCATCCTACTAGCATAGGACTTTAATTTCAATTACTTTTATTTATTAATATATATATTATATATATGTATATATATACAGTGTGGTCAATCAGTATTTGATCACCCTGTGATTTTTCAATATCTCCTACTTAGAAATCATGGAGGGGTCTAGATTTTTTACCATAGGTGCATTTCCACTTCCAGATACAGAATCTAAAAATAAAAATCCAGAAATCACTTTGGATGATTGTTTAACAATTTATTTGTAAATTAGTGTGTCAAATAAGTATTTGATCACTTACTTTTCAGCCAGATTTCTTACCCTCAAAGACCTGTTATTTTGCTTTTAAATAGTTCAGCTACACTCTGCTCAAGATTTTAATTTCATAGCACCTGTTTGAAGTTGTTATCAGTCATAAAGACACCTGTGCATTCCACAATCAGTCAAACGTCTAAGTAGCAACATAGGCAAAACCAAAGAGCTGTCAAAAGACACAAGAGACAAAATTGTAGACCTTCACAAAGCTGGAAAGGGCTATGGGACAATTGCCAAGCAGCTTAGTGAAAAAAGAACAACCGTTGGAGCAATTTTCAGAAAGTGGAAGAGGCTAATGATGACCGTCAATGTCCCTCGGACTGAGGCCCCATGGAAGATCTTTCCTTGTGGGGTATCAATGATGCTAAGAATGGTCAAGAATCAGCCCAGAACTACACAGGAGGAGCTGGTCAATGCTGTGAAGAGAGATGGAACCACCATTTCCAAGGCTACCATCAGTAATACATTAAGACGTCACGGTTTAAAATCTTGCATCGCAAGGAAGGTTCCTCTGCTTAAGTCAACCCATGTTTGAAGTTTGCCAGTGACCATCTGGAAGATCCAGAGGAGTCATGGGAGAAAGTCCTGTGGTCAGAGAAAACAAAGTAGAACTTTTTGGTCTTAACCCCATTCGTTGTGTTTGGAGGAAGAAGAATGATGAGTATCATCCCAATAAAACCATACCTACAGTGAAGCATGGGGCTGGAAGCATCATGCTCTGGGGTTGTTTTTCTGCACAGGGGACAGGACGACTGCACTTTATAAAGGAGAGGATGAACGGGGCCATGTATTGTGAAATGTTGGGCAAAAACCTTCTTCCCTCAGTCAGAGCATTAAAGATGGGTCGTGGCTGGGTCTTCCAACATGAGAATGACCCAAAGCACACAGCTATGAAAACCAAGGAGTGGCTCAGTATGAAGTATATCAAGGTTCTGGAATGGCCCAGCCAGTCACCAGACCTAAATCCAATAGAAAATCTTTAGAGGGAGCTGAAACTCTGTATTGCCCAGTGACAGCCCCAAAACCTGGCAGATCTAGAGTAGATCTGCATGGAGGAGTGGGCCAAAATCCCTCCTGCAGTGTGTGCAAACCTGGTGAAGAACTACAGGAAACGTTTGACCTTTGTAATTGTTAACAAAGGCTTCTGTACCAAATATTAAGCATTTTTGACTCAAGTGATCAAATACTTATTTGAGCCACTAATTTACAAATAAATTGTTTAAAAATCATACGATGCAGTTTCTGGATTTTTATTTTTAGATTCTGGCTCTCACATTGAGAAGGACCTATGGTGAAAATTCTAGACCCCTCCATGATTTCTAAGTAGGAGATATTGAAAAATCACAGGTTGATCAAATACTTATTGACCTCACTAAATATATATATATATATATATATATATATATATATATATATATATATATATATATATATGTGTGTGTATGAGTGTGTGTGTGTATACTCCCCGCAATAATACAGCCGCAGAGGCTTAGAGGGGACACATATTGCTTCCATACGGACCACAAATTAATTACATTACATAGTAGCAGTAACAACGCTCTAGAAGCTCTACTGAGCTATACTCACCCTTTGCACTACTACACCAACATTGTAGCTTTATCTGAGCTCATACCCACATTACTATTGACCAGAACCAACGTTCCTGCAGGAGTTCACTCAACTCTTTAATATGCTGATTTTCATTCACTCATCGCACCACTGCAGCAACAGTGTCAGTCTAGCTCTCCTATCCACTTCCATCATAACATTTCTGTAAGAACACACATAACACTCCAGACACTGACTACCAATACACCTTGGCAGCCGCAGAGTCACGCTGCTGAGCCTCATTCCTCCTCTGCAACACAGCTGCAACAGTAACGCTCTGCTTGAGTTCACATACACTTCTATTTAGTAATTTACTAGTGACACACTCCCCAGCACTGCCACAGCAGTTGAAACGTCTCTCCAGAGGCGTACTTTCCTTTTATTACTGACTTTATCGCATTTCTGCAGTTGCAGAGATGCTTCGCTTAGCTTCATTCCCCTCTGCACAACTGCTGGAGGCTGCAGGAGGGATGCTCTGCTGAGCTCATATACACTTCCATTTAGCCATTCACTACTGATACACTTCCCAGCACTGCCAATGCAGTTAAAATGTCACTACGGAGGCGTATTTCCCATCCAGTATTGAATTCCATTCCACCTCTGCAGCAGCAGAGACGCTCCGCTGAGCTTCATTGCCCTCTGCATCACTGCTGCAGCAGTTACGCTCTGCCTGAACACTTCCAAATTTTCATACTGATACTCTGCTCTGCCATAGTAGTTTAAACTCCTCTGTGGATGTGTAGTTACCCTTCAATAATTCCATGATACTGACACTCGCCGCATGTGTGCAGCAGCAGAGACACTCTGCTGAACTTTATAGCTACATTTCAACACTGCCATATTGATCCTCTCTAAAAGAACTCACGCATACATGCTTCAAATCATTACATTTACCTCACTCTCCCGCCCGGTCCATGCAATTAAAACTGCCCCGGGAGCACACAAAGTTGTACATAATCTGTCTGCCAGTACACCACTACTCCACTAGCAACAACCACTCTTATCTCACCATTTACACCCACACTGGTCACATTTTTGCTTCTACAAGCAGCCAGGTATTGCATTGATCTTCATTTGCCTTTTGGGGGGGTTCTTCAAATACGAGGCTGCTGTGCCGAGCAGAGCATTTTGGGGAGTTCTCGAGACCTACCTGAACTCAGAGCTCCCCTCTCGCCCTGCAAATGGGAGGGAGCCCAGGGCTCAAGGACCTTTTGAGCTCAGGGCTCTCTCCCTGGACAGCATGTCAAACTTGCTTATAATCAATCATCAAATAAGTGTGAACTCTTGAAGTGAAGTTTATTTATAAACTATTTTTAAGAGAATCACGTGATTATGATTGAACATGGCTGGTTCTACATTACCTACGTATGATCCACCAATCAGACAATTCCTAACCCACTATAAAGAGCCAATATTTCTCACTATTGTCATCTTCAATTTAAAGAATCCCTCCTTCCAACCCCTACTCCTCCACCATTCTTTTAATTGGGTGGCACGGTGGCCCAGTGATTAACACTGTTGCCTCACAGCAAGAACGTCACCGGTTCTTGTCCTTTAACATGCCCGCTGTATTTCTGTGCGAAGTTACCGTGTTCTTCCCGTGTTCGTGTGGGTTTTTCTTGGGTTCTCCGGTTTCCTCCCAAATTCCAAAAACATACACTTACAACATACACAAGTTAATTGATCAATCTAAATTTAGCACTACAGTCAAACTCTTATCTAGCAGCATTTCTCTTTATAACAATCATTTTCCGTCATCAGCTCTTAACAAAATAGGGGGAGCACTCGAGACCTACCTGAGCTTGGAGCTCCCCTCTCGCCCTGCACACGGGAATTGAGCACAGTGCTCAAGGAACTTTTGAGCTCAGGGTTCTCTCCTGGGACAGCATGCCAAACTTGTGAACCAAAGTGTGAACTATTGAAATATCAATTGAATCTGCTTAAATATGCACACACTATTGGACTGAACAAAATATTTGATTTATTTTACGTTTAATGTGCATGAAAATTACATTGTGAAGCCAATGTTTCCAGTGTCTTTTAACTTTTCAGCTTTTGATGAGTTTTTAAGACTTAAAAAAAATTAAAATTAATGTTTTTTATTTCAGACCTTATTGAAGAGAATGAGGGGATTAAAGAGGAGAAACATCATGTCAAAATTGAGGAAAAAATTCATTTACAGACTGATGGTAGTTTGAAAAGGAGAGACAAGAATCGTTTCACTTGCACTCAGTGTGGAAAGAGTTTTGGAAGAAAAAGCGATCTTAAGATTCACATGATGATTCACACTGGAGAGAAACCATTCACATGCAATCAGTGTGGGAAGAGTTTCAACCAAACATCAAACCTTAATCGACACATGAGGATCCACACTGGAGAGAAACCATTTACTTGCACTCAGTGTGGGAAGAGTTTTAACTGCTCGTCACACCTTAATCAACACATGAGGATCCACACTGGAGAGAAACCATTTATATGCACTCAGTGTGGGAAGAGTTTCAGCCAATTATCATCCCTTAATCAACACATGATAAGCCACACTGGAGAGAAACCATTCACATGCACTCAGTGTGGGAAGAGTTTCAGCCAATTATCATCCCTTAATCAACACATGATAAGCCACACTGGAGAGAAACCATTCACATGCACTCAGTGTGGGAAGAGTTTCAACCGATTAGCAAACCTTACTGAACACATGAAGATCCACACTGATGTGAAAGAGTATATGTGCTTTGAGTGTGAGAAGACTTTTATTACAGCTCCAAAATTGAAACTGCACCAGAAAATTCACATTGGAGAGACCATACAAGTGACCATACTGTGACAAGAGGTTTAATCAGGTAACGCATCTGAAAACTCAAAAGAGAATTCACAGTGGAGAGAAATCATACAGATCTGACCAGTGTCTACTGAGTTTCGCTCATTCAGAGCAGCTTAAGAAACATATGGACAAAACATTTTACACATGACCTGAATGCAGCAAAACATTTTCTCATTTGCTCAGGATGTGTCATGTCTGAATAATGTATGAAAAGGCTGAGTGTTGGTATACTGTTTTCCAACACTCCTACACTGCAGTAGGTGGGGTTAAAAATGTGTTTGAAATTGTTTACCATAAACAATGGTGGCTGCTGATAAAGAACAGTTTCATAAACATCTGGCAAACAGCACCTCTTAAAATCTTTTTGCAAGTGATTGTACTTGTGCGGATACATCTGTACTCTTCTCTCCAGTGTATTCATGTAGCTAGTGTTGTTTTGGATTATGTTCTCTGTCTGACTCCCTGAATGAGAAACAAATCACTGGTAAGACACCACACATCAAAGAAGGTGGAGCTTCAGGACAGTTAGTTTGCAGTATACCAGGGCCTCAGGTTTAGATAGCCCATTCAATTGTCCTGTGTTGCATCCTTTTATAGTAAAGTTTCTTTATTTTTAGGTTCAAGATTCTTTCTAGTTTACTACATTTACTTTTTTGAGTAAAATGCAAAAACTTGATGAATATTTTATGATTTAGGCAGAGTGACAGGTATTAAGTTTTACAATATTAATACACTCTGTGATGATCCCAAGACCCCAGGTTGGAGTATGTGGTAAATCGTGATTGGATGCCTGCATTACTCATCAATGGCTATATAAAAGTTGTTGTGCTAGCTACCCCAGGATGCTGTGGCTACTCAGGAGTCCTCATGTCAAGACCTGCCATCTCATTGACTCTTTTACCTTATGGTTTTGTTTTGCATTACTTGTATCAAGTAGTTACAGTTTTTTAGGGTTGCTTACACACTAAAATTAAAAGTAGTACACTATTAGCAAAACCTTACACACAGGTATCAAAACATCAGCCCATATTTGCACAACTGTAAGCACATTTTCAACTTAACACTTGTTGCAAAACTCCACACACAGTGATTTGCAAAACACTAAACACACTTAACATACATTACACACTAAAATCTATCATGAAGTCACTTCATTGCAATACCAAAGCACGGACTGTCAAATTACTGCACCGTCCAACCAAGTGGTTCAACACAGTCATCAGGTGTGCAAACACTTGTTTGATTAATTGTAGACACACCAATCATGTGTTTAAGCACTATAAAATGCCAGTTTCAATGAAAACCATCAGGTCTCAATATCAACACTGGCACACACCATAAAAAAAAAAAAAACATTCAAATGAAACAAATTCATGGAGTGCCTTTAGAGCACAATTTCGAAAGGGTAAAAAGACTGTGATAATCTTTTACTGTACTGTAATACTAGATCTACACTGAACTACACAATTTTGCCTGACACTGTTCTTCAGGTAGTTTAACGAATAGATGGAGAGGAGATCCAGCATGAGTTCCTTTACGTAGATGAGGCTGGGTTCAACCTGACGAGAACACGGAGTAGAAGAAACATCATTGGCCACAGGGCTATAGTCAATGTCCCAGGGCAACGTGGGGGAAATATACAGTTACACTGTGCAGCCATTACAAAGAATGGGGTCCTCCACTGCCATGTCCATATGGGCCTTAACAACACAGCACATATACTTACATTCTTGGACCAAATGCACAACATAAAAGCAGCAAACAATTCGATCCTACGCAATACATTGTTGTCTGGGACAATGTGTCTTTCCACTGTTCTGCTCTGGTTCAGAACTGGTTTCAGCAACATCCACATTTCACTGTCCTATATCTTCCAGCATACTCTCCATTCCTCAACTCTATAGTCAAGTTTTTCTCGGCATAGTGGTGGAAGGTATATGATCTCCATCTCCAGGCTGAGGTACCCCTCATCCAAACCATGGAGGAGGCCTGTGACCAGATGGAGGTAGCAGCAATACAAGATTCTACATTCAAGACGCTTCTTTCCAAGGTGTCTTGCTAAGGACAACATTGCAATGTTGATAATTCTCATGCCAGATTCAGCTAGGCGAAGAGACGATGTCTAACTTACAGTTCACTACTTAAAGTGACATGTTACAGTACTTTAAATCCTTATGTCAACATGTTAGACATGTTTATGAATAAATGAGTTTCTTCAAGGTGCAGCATTGTTCTTGAGTATTGTTTGGTGGATTTACTTTATATTTGTACTTTGTTGATGGTAGCCTACTCTAATCATAGGGAAGTAGAAGTGCTAAAAGTGTTTTAAGTTTATCACAGCAGAGTGTAACTTGTGCAAACAGAGTATAGTAAATGTGAAAATGTGTTTCTTATGGTAAAGTGTGGTTTTTAAACAGAAGTGTATAGTTTTTACAAGAGTTTAATTATGCAAAGGATCTGTAGTGTTTTGCTAATTGGGTGTGTGGTTGTGCTAATTGTGTGTACTGTTTTGAAAACATGGGCCCTGTTTTGAAAATCGTGCTTAAGCAATCCAAAAAAACTGTAATGGTGTGTGCCAGTGTTGATATTGAGACCTGATGGTTTTCATTGAAACTGGCATTTTACAGTGCTTAAACACATGATTGGTGTGTCTACAATTAATCAAACAAGTGTTTGCACACCTGATGACTGTGTTGAACCAATTGGTTGGACGGTGCAGTGATTTGACAGTCCGTGCTTTGGTATTGCAATGAAGTGACTTCATGATAGATTTTAGTGTGTAATGTATGTTAAGTGTGTTTAGTGTTTTGCAAATCACTGTGTGTAGAGTTTTGCAACAAGTGTTAAGTTGACAATGTGCTTAGAGTTGTGCAAATATGGGCTGATGTTTTGATACTTGTGTGTAAGGTTTTGCTAATAGTGTACTACTTTTAATTTTAGTGTGTAAGCAATCCTAAAAACTGTACATGACAGCTACAGGCTGTCATGTAAGCCAACAGCTATTTGTAGTAAAAGCAGTGATTCAGATGTAAAGCATAGACACTGAGGAGACATTAAAGAACATCATAGAGTGAGTTAAAAAATGTTGTAGTTAATATTTGATGTACTTAAAAAGTGATTGAGAATTACAAATTGCATTTCTGATTGGAAAAATGCTTTAAGTTAACAAACATGTGGAGTTAAATTAGTACTATGAACTCTAAGCTATTGCAGTAAGGATTTTGAACAGTTATATCAGATGTAAGCACCATGTAGTGCTGGTGAATTAAAAACAGAAATGTTAGAGAAATTACATAATGTAAGATTTAATGTAACTAGTGAGCAAGCACTAGAATAAATTAATAAAAATAAGTGAAGCACAATCTGAAGCCAAAAAAATTATTATAAGGACATTTAACAAATATAAAATTAAGCATATTTACATATTATAAAAATTATTGAGAATTCGAAAAAATAAGTTGTTAAACAGCAAACAAAAATAAATTAATTAATGAATTAATAAAAACAAATTGGATAAAAGGAGTCTTTATTTGATGAAGGAAAAAATGGGAAAGAAAAAGAAAAGAAAAAAAAAAGATTTATTAAGTCATGAGCTAAATTCTATATATATATTAATTAAGAGGACATAGGGATGAACTTTGGGGGACTGTAGACTCGTACCTACCAGACATCTCTGAGTGTACTGGCAAATGGAAAGGCATGTGAAAAAACACAAAGAGCAAAATGGCTTTGGACACTTGAACTTTATGCCCAGGATTTACTGAGGACTGAAAAAGCTACATTTGTTCAGAGACAATACAGTTTTTTACAACGGCTATGACACTTTTTTCAATACATTTAACAAGTTTGCTAAACTCTTAACGCAGCAACACACCTAAAACACACAATTGGCAAAACAGTTAATTTCATGCTCAAAATCACACATTATAAACTAAACCTCTAAACTACTTTTCAAAATACAATAATAAACGAACACAATACACCATGTCTAACAAAACACTATAAACATGTTTCAAAATGACATAATTGTTCAAAACACTAACACATGTTCTCTTCCAACAGAAACATTTAGTCAATCAGAATACACTGACAATAAAAACACTATCATCAGCTGACATTACAGAAACTGCATTATTTTGTGTCAGCTCTGCCCTTATATTTGAAGCCTCTTTACAGTTTTGTGTTGTTGGGTTTAGTAAATGCATGCATTTTGTTTCTTTTGCTGCAGAAATTCAATATAAAAAACAACCATCTCAGAGCAGCTTTATAAAATGTACAGTTTATGTAAAAAAAAAAAATAAAAATACAGAAACAGAATTGCTGCAGTACAGACTTTATTTGCAAAAATAAACCAGAAAAAAAAAATGGAATTATAATAAAATAAAAAAAGTAATCCTCTATTCTGCCCGGTCTTCTGCATTTGGCCACATGTTCTCATCCACATCACACCTAATATCTTCTCTGGCAAGGCACCGTGGGAAGAATCTTTTGGCATGCCTTATCCACCCCTGGCAGTGTTCAGTTGTGATGTCTTGGCATGCAGCATCCATTGCATCCAGGAGGGCCATTTGGTCATGTGGACGATGGTCAAAAACCTTCCATCTTCAGGCTGAGAAAAACTCCTCAATAGGGTTGAGAAAAGGGGAGTAAGGGGCAAGGAAATGGGACATCATCCTTGGATTAGCGTCAAACCAGGCTGTGACTGCACGAGAATGGTGGAATGCCACATTGTCCAACGTGATAACATATACAGGCAAGTGGTCTTCCACCTGTCCCCTTTCCACCTCTGGCACCAGTCTTTCATGCCGGTCTTCTAAAAACAGGAGAAGGCAGTCGGTGTTGTAGGGGCCAATCTGACATTTATGCAGGAGTGCACCATTGTTGGAGATTGCGGCACACATGGTGATGTTGGCTCCTCTCTGGCCCGGCACGGTAACTGTGGCCCTTTTGCCTATTATATTCCTCCCACGGCGACGCCTTTTCGCCAAGTTGAAGCCAGCCTCATCAACATAGATTATTTCATGTGTAACTTGATTGGCCTCCAACTCCATGACTCTCTGAAAGTAATTAGACACATAGATGTACACTATGTACTAATGAACTCCAGGTTTATAGAGTAGTTTACTTTAAAACACACTGTGTATATTAGAGTAATGACTGTATTGCATAACCTTACCTGGACATATTGGTGACGGAGTTCTTTGATGCGCTCACTGTTCCTTTCAAAAGGAACTTTGTATAGATGTTTCATTCTGACTCTGTGTTTAGCTAGAGTCTGAGAAATTGAGGTTAAGCTAATTGCTGCAATATTCCCAAAGACAAAGTTGTCCTCTACAACTCTGGACTGAATTTCCTTCAGTTTTAT